AGAGTGCCTTGCAGCCGAGCAGGCTGCCCAGATCTCAGGAGATGTGCTTGGAAAGGAAAATCTCCCATCAGATAGAGATGATGGTGATATATCCAGATGATGATGGTGATGATACTGACAACCTTGATGACGATGATGGTGATTGTGATGATTGATGATGATTCATCATGATTGATGATTGGTGATGATGATGATGATTGGTGATGATGATGATGGTGGTGGTGGTGATGATGATGAAAATGGAAATGTTTGATGATTGATGGTTGATGATTGGTAATCGGTGATTTGTGATGGTGCTGATGATCTTCAGCGTGGTGCGCACGAGTAGTATAACAGCAGTAGCAGCAACACACCACTCTACAGATTACCCTACATTATGTGGTTACTATGCTGAAAATTGTTTGGGCAGGATGCATTTTTGGCTTGTGGCATTCTACTTTCGGTTGGTGGCTCTGCTTGTTGTTTTCTCCTGTTGCTTTCTGCCTTCCATTGTCGGCCTCTGTTCTCTGCTGTGTCTTGTTCTTCATTACGCCTAGATGCGCAATCGTCATGTTTACAACTACCAGTATAGTTACTACAAATGTTCCCGCGCTCCTTGGTGAAAGGGTATGCGGAGTTCTGATTTAATTTCATCATCACCCCATTATTTGTAAAAAGACTGCACTATTTTTCCGGTGTGGCATGGATGGAAGGGCCGCGTAGGTAAGGCTTAGGCGTCATGAGTGACTGACCGTTGCTCACCCCCAGCAAATCGCAAGCAGCCTGGAGAAGGGGTCCTCTTGTTTGCACTTTTGTGAGTGCACCCGGAACTAGCTTCAGTCCTGCTACTGATTTAGCTATTGGATGTTATTGGTGTTGCTTCTTGTGTTGCTGTCACAGATCTTGCTTTGCTGTTGCCGTTACAAGTGCTGTCACGACAGTCATTAGTAGATTTCTGTTGTTCAACTGTATTCTTGTTTTACGTGGGCTGATTATTCTTAATACTATACTATTATTACTGTGCACATTAATGCTGTTTTGTAGTCATGATTACTATTGTCCGTATGTTTGTATCCATGATTATTATAGAGAGCAGGTGGCTGTGGGGCCAGGGCTTTTGAAACCTCATATTTTGTATGTTTTTCGTATAGGATGACTTTCAAGATCTTGAAACCCTGAACATTCCCCCCAAGTTGCAATGGGCAACCATCGAACCAGAGGTTCATAATTCAGGGTTTCAAGATCTTGAAAGTCATCCTCTACAAAAAATATACAAAATATGGGGTTTCAAAAACCCACGCCCCACAGCCACCTCTTCTGTTACTATAGTCATTGCTACTAGAAATTACCGTTGTCATCTTTTCATGTTTATGCTAATGTATGCCAGCCGTACATCCTTTTCCTCAAGCAGATGTTCACGGGGAGGACACGATTGTTATGTTGATTTCTCTTACTATTTCTTTTACAATATACTATTGTCAAAATTACAGCAGAACCACGACCTCAACGTCCACGCCAATTATTGCAACAAGTATATCCATGTTCATTGTTTCCTGTTACTATTTCTACTTGTACTCGCCAAGCATTGAAAGGCGTGTTTGGTGGCAGCACCGAAAAATCATCGGCTAGTCATGTGAAGCGGAGGTATCCGGTCAACCAAACCTAAAAAGTCCAATCGGGAACCTTCCGACGCATTTTGACCCACGCCCTGAACTTGTTTTGCAGACCTGGTCAAGTGCTACCCCCGTGAATCCTGTAAAGCCCGAGAGGCCCCACTAAGTGAAATTGAAGTCCCAATCGCAGGACCTTCCGGAGCGCATACCAATTCTAGCCCCCGTGGCGGAGGATACCCTGCATATGGGAAGCGCACTGATTTGTTACAGGGTTGCGAGATCCAATTCCCACTATTGTTTCTATTCTACATGTTGTTTCACTGCACAAATGTCTTCCTTGTTGAAGTGCTTGAGTCAATTGTCATCACTTGCCCCGCGAGGCACGGCGCGGTCCTGCCATCTAGGAATGTAGATACTATCGGAATTTTAGCCGTTTTGGGGCAACCTTGCTTGAAAGGTGGGCAGCTGGTGCTGACTGGCTTCACGTGAGCATTCCTCCCGAAGATTTTCCATGAGCAATTGATTCCGGATGGCCCTTCAGAAATAGTCGTCTAAGTCACCAAAAGAGAGACATCAAACGTAGCCGCAGACATGCTACGGACGGTAGCGGGTGATCTGGCAAACAGGCATTTGCACAGGACATGCGCGAACCAGATCTACTCTGCTCATAGGAGATGCTGCGAGGGGTGCGTACGGTTTTGGGCTCAGCTTAAGTTCTAGGTGGATCGTTTCTTTTCTTTCATGCTGCCGAACAAAAGTTCAGGCGTCAATTTCAGCAAGGTAGTCATGAGATCCAGCCTTCGGAACGACTTGCTGACTCAGTCTTGGGCAGTCGCCTTATCATAGGGCTTATTCAGGTACGTCCTCAACAACACGTGACGACGCAAGTTCACTTGTCCCAGGAGACTTCATACAGGGCCCCTTCTGTTTTACCTAATTTGCGGTCGGGGTCATATTCAGTCTGGGTATGAGGCAAATTTTCGTGGTGTTCAATAATTGCACTACCCACCAAGTCTTGGCTTTGACAAGTACGACATGTTCCGGCCAGTTACAGACGTTCCCGTTGTTTTGTGTGGCTTTGCATATATACCAACGCTAAACCCTGAATGAATAGTGGCATCGAAACCCTACAGAGTCCTTATGTGACCCTACAGAACCCCTGCATAGACCTCAGCATCTCCTGTGTGAACTGCAAGCTCATGAGCCAACATGTTTGGAGGACGCGGCGCCCGAACAGGTGAGGCTGGCTCCGGAGGCATCAGATGGGATGTTACCCCAATAATGGAGAATCAAATGGAAAGTAAAATGGAAAATGAAATGGAAGCCCTAGGTCGCGTTAACAGGTTATATGGGGATACTGCCCCAATTTTATGGAGAAACAAACGAAAAAGAAAATGAAAAATCAGATGGAGGCTGGATTTTATTGTGGTTTGCCGGGTTACGATTCCCAAGCATGAGGCGTGCTACTACTGCGCCGGCCGGGCCGAAAGCTCGACCCACTCTCAATGTTAGGAAAACTTGTCCCACTCAGTCCGAATAGACTCCTAACACTGGGACTTGGGCCTCCACCGGAACTAAATAGTATTAAAGTTTTAAAACGGGGTATTAATTACTCCGCTAGCAGGGCCCGTGAAAACGGCATGTGGGGCCCCTCGGCTACTCCGCAAGATCCTGGTATGTTAGTACACACGCTCGAAGGCTCGGTAGCTCAAAACTTTCGGCCAGCTGATGTACTCATGTCAGATAGGGTCATTCCCATATGACACCTATAATGCCCAGTTTCCTTCTCACTGATTTTCCGTTGGATGCCAGAATCCCTTGACCCTAAATACTAGCTTCCACTTCATTGTCCAGCTGGTTTTCCATTCTTGGACTCCCCATTATTCGTGGGAGGGGATTGGAGAAATGCAGGTCCAAGCCGCCCCGTTGGAAGCTCCTACCGCTTCCGCACAGGCCCAGTACAGTGAGGCTTCATTAGGCAAAAGAGTTGGTAACGCCAACTCCGGAGCTCAATTCAGATCTGCAACTGTCATGAGACTATAAAGGGGGATGACCACAGTTTCCTTACCATTCAATAGGGCCCGCCGAGAAGTGTGGAGGGTCTGAAAATTCATGAGGCCAAATGTCATAGACTGATAGACATGATGTATAGAGTGCAGGGTTTGTACTGGCCACTGCGGGGGTTGGGGTCAGCAAACAAAGTTGCATCACACAATAACCACAAACCCAGAAATGTCTTGTGGTTGAGAGCAATTTGGGGTGTGGTATTCTTTCCATCAAAAGCGGGGAAAATTAGCAATGCACGGCTACGACGGTGGCTTGGTAAGAAGGATGTACGTAGCTGCATGGGAGGGGTATCATGGAAGTGCGGTTACACGTGCGGGAATAAAAGCCTGGACTGTATACATTCAAGATGTCAGGATACTTCTCATACTGTATAATATGGGCGCTAACCGAAGGACCAACCTCCATGTGATGCAGTAAGGTGCATCCCCGCATCCAGCAAGCTAGCAGGCCCCTGCTGAAGCAGAAGGACCACCAGTTCCGAGGCCCTCGGAGGCTGGGGCGTGGACATTCCTGGGTAGTTGGACTTAAGTGCAGGAGATCAGTAGTGAGCACTGAAATTTCCTGCCCAGCGGCGATCCTTACATGTTCCAAAGTTACGTTTTGGACATGCTTTCTCACGCTTTCTAAAATCTGCTGTGCCTGCTGAGCTGTTGATTTAATAGGTCTCCTGGGCAGTGGAGGTCAGTGGCTTCCTTATGGTAGATGATCAGACGATCTCCAATAGTCAAGAGTAATCAAACATGTTGTGTCCCGCCTGTTTCCGTAGTGTGAGAGCCTGGGTAATTGAGGCAGGAGCCCCAAAGGAATCATACCCACTACTTTGCATCACATCTCCAAACTCCAGTTGATATGAAGTGGTGTTGTGAAATACAGCGCGTGAGAGTACAGGTGTCACTCCCTCAAGGTTGTTGGTAGAATCATAGAATACTCTCCCGAGATCTTGTTCTAATCGTTCAGGCTGCTAATTTCTCTAAGTGCCCTGGAAGCACGCATCAGGCGGCAGCAGGAGACACATCCTGGGACCCGCCAGACATGGAGGCTGCTTTGGGGTCCCTGGACAACTGAATCTGTGGTTCAAGTATCAAAGTTAGATTGCAATTTCTGCCATGAAACTTTACAACTCATTTTGTAGCTGCCCAAGAAACTCTAAGTGCTGTGAGTAGAGTGTGCATGTGATTCCGATGAAATACTCCGTAACGCATGAGCTTGTGAGACTCGATCCTTCATGCAAAGTTGTCCCTACTTTGATTGACCTGGCCATAGCTACTGCAGCACAGCTCTGAAGCCGCGTGGCTCCTGATTCGGCCCTTGAAGGAAGACTGGAACTTGTAGCAGAAGGCCATGTTTCGTTGCTTGGTCGTGTCTTCAGTCTGCCTGGCCTATGCCAGAGAGGCATGTGAGCAAAATGGGTCCTGTAACATTCAGGAGCCCGTGTCCATGCTCCAGGCCGCCAGCAAGATGAAGGCCAACTGCACGGGAAGTAAGTGTGGACGGGGGCACCCCGCATGGATGGGGCCCATCTCTGTGCTTCAGTCTGACGAAGGAGTTGTCCCTGAATTCCAAGTCCAGGAGGATGGGACTTGGAACACTTACTTCCTACCAGGAGCTAGCATCACCGACAAGAGGGCAGTCACCTATGGCATCAACGACAAGTACTATCTGATGAAGTACAACACCGCGGATTATTCCAAGGCAGACAACTTCAAGATGATCCAGTTGAATGGGAAGACATTGATCACAGAAGTGAATCTCAATGGCGCAGGGTGCGGATGCAATGTGAACTTCTTCATGGTTTCAATGCCAGCTGCCTCTCCTGGCCAGTATGGCGACTACTACTGTGATGGAAACTGTGTGGGCGGCAACTGCTGCCCAGAGTTCGACACCAATGAGATGAACACGAACGCGCTGCAGGTCACAAATCACAACTGCTGGAACCCCTGGTCCAAGAATACCTGTGATGGAAATGGTGATCCTGAGATGAAATTCTACCCTGGCGAATATGGCCCGGGAGGCAACAACGCCATCGACACAAACAAACCATTCTTCTTCTCAGTCCAAGTGAGAGAGGTCATTGTTGGAGACGGAAGCCCGGACAACCATCTCATCGTCGAAACTCGAGCTTGGCAGGGGGACAAGGTCGTGGCAAAGTCCATGGGTGGCGTCAACAACCCCATGAATGGCATGTGGGGCAATTTCGCTAATGGCATGGTTTTGGTCATTGACTACTGGCAGAGCCAGGATCTAACGTGGCTGGATGGCTCAGCCTGCCACGCTCCGGAGTATTGCAGCGGTAACAAGGCCACGCTCAGCAACATGCAGCTCATCTCGAATGACAACCCCCAGCTGTCAGCCAGCTGCCCTTCCAGCGAGGGCTCCGACTGCAGCTGGGCCCATCAAGGAAATGGTGCCTGCAACAATGATGACGCTTCCGAGGGCTGGTGCCGGTGCTGCTGCACAGAGACCGCCTTGGTCCCTCGCTGCCTCTGGTCAGGCTACTCGGCGTTCTGATGCTTAGCACATACTGGATTTCTATGGTTAGTAGAATCTTGACGTTGAACATGCTTACGTCAGCCGTTGAAGCACGCTTCCTGACTAGCAGATGACTGTCCGGTTGGGTGCATTGCAGGGCCAACGGGCTCGGCAGGTTTTGACGCCTTGGCCATCCAATGCGATGGGCAGAAGTTCCGTGTGATCCTCACACGATGACAACAAAATCGCTGAAATCAATGCCAGTGCGATTGCCGCTTACCTTTGAAGGTTGTTGCGTTCATGGGGATACTGATCCAGCTAATCAAGGTGTGGTGTTTGCATCGCTAGTAGCTGCAGGCAGACGGACCCCTCCACTTGCCACCTATGGGGACAGCGTTCCCTCCTTGGCACGGCGGCATGACGCCACAGCCGCGCCCCAAGCCTTCTGTCACAAGGAGATTTATTCGAAAACTGATGATCACACTAGTCAGATGAAAGGCGACCACAACATAGAATCTTTCTCAAACTCTCAGTTCAGACCATAGAGCTCCAGCATACACTATCCCAAAGCATTGTTTCCAATTCAGGCTCAAGTAGACATGAAGCTTGGGAATCGCTTGCTTGCATGATGTATCGCATCCTGACCGGCTGGCAATCTAAACTGGGAGGAGCGCATCAGTTGATGAAGGGCCGGCTACAGTGTTCGAGGAGGCAGGATTTGTGAAGCCTTGCACGCCAGAAGCTTTCGAGCAGCTCGCGACCTCAGCGAAGGAAGTTGGCGAAAGATTGTCCCCAACTCGGTGATGTGGATACCTTGCAAGGCACCACACAGGCAACAGACTCTAACTGACTCTAAATGCATAAATGCTGCTCGCCGTGCCATGCTTTTCTCTTGGCTGTGTCCAATGCCACGGACCAACCGTGATCCAGGTTTCAGCACAGCCTCTCCCTGCCCGACCTGTCCGACACAAGGTACATAGAGGCAACCTGACTTGTTGCATTCAGGGCCCGCTCAACTGTCGGCAGCGCGTTTTGTTGCAGCCTGCAAAAAGGCAGCTGGCAACCCTTGGTGTCGCTGCCCTGGCATGCTTGTGCAAGCGAACAGGACAGTAGCGAGGCCTGCAATTTAAGCTGTTTGGCATGTTCGTGAAGTGCCCTGCCGCCGCTCAAGCTTTCATAGCTGGTCGTGCTCGTGGCTCCATGTCACCTTTCGACCACTCGTGGAAGATCACTAGGCATCATGGGCTGTGCTGCTTCTTCCTCCGATGCATCGTTTGCAGCAGCCTCTCCGCCGAGGTTGCTCAACAGGGAGGCGTTGGCAAGCTACGCCTCCTTGTTGCGCAACCTCGGCGGAGAGGCCGCTGCAAACGGTGCATCGGAGGAAGAAGCAGCACAGCCCATGATGCCTTGCGGGCCACATCCGCTTCGTTTGCCTAGCTTGCCAGGTGATGTTCTCGTCGGCGGCAACTTTCCCAAGGAAGTTGTGGAGCAGCTCTCCACGCAGTGTGCTGGGTGGCTGTATGTGAACTCGGAGACTGACCAGCATTTCATGCCAGAGGTGATCAAATCCTCCGGGTCTAACCTTCAGGTACTTCCACTGAAGTTGGACAGCGTCCCAGCCGGCCGAGTTGAGGAGATTGTTACATCGATCCAGGTGCTGCCATACTGGCGCATCAGTGGAGCTCTTGCTCAAGGACCTCGCGTTGGATACTGTAAGGGATGAAGCCGCAAAGTGGATGGCGGCACGGCCCTTCACGCTGGAGAACAAAAATGGCCCTCTCACAGAACGAAGTCCTGAAGTGCGTCAGCTATGACACGGGAAGCTCCACGCTGAGCTACCTCATAGCATGCCCAGAAACGCAGCAGGCTGTACTGATTGACCCTGTCCTGGAGCAGAAGGACAGGGATTTGGCCCTCCTCGCGGAACTAGGTCTCAAGTTGAAATGTGTTCTCAATACGCATTGCCACGCCGACTACGTCACATCGGGTGGATCCATCCGAAGAGACATGCCAGAGGTGAAGACAATAATCTCAGAAAACTCCGGCGCTAAGGCAGACATCCACATCAAGCATGGTGACGTGGTGAACTTTGGGAATCTGGCATTGGAGGTCCGCGCCACCCTTGGTCACACAAACGGCTGCGTGACTTACGTGCTAAGGACCAAGATGGCAACCTTTGCCTTCACGGGCGACACCTTGCTCATTCAAGGTTGTGGCCGCACCGACTTCCAGCAAGGCAGCGAGGAACGCTGCTTCAACCAGCCGCTTACGAAGACTGTAGAGGACTTCGAAGACCTCATGGCCAACTTAATGCCGGGTTCTGATTATA